GAAAATTAACTGTCAAAAATTTTTTTCTCAGTCGAAATACGACCCCCCTGTTGGGGAATCGGGAACCCCCAACAACGATGTGCCTTGGCTGAAATGGTCGACCTGAGAATGTATACTGCTCCTAAAGATTCTATTGAGAATTCAATTCTCTCCAAACCTTCCATATCCTTTCACATGAACGCAGACCTCCCGCAAAAGGCCAAATATGACCCTCTCCAGTGACGATCCCCTAATTGAGAATTTCTTAATCGAGGCGTGCTTTGAGGGAAAGGGTGTTGCAAATAGCGTGAGAAGAGCGGATAAGGGCTTGGAAACTCACATGAGGTTTACAAAAACTCCTATAGCAGCCGTTATCGCCATAATAGTTGCATCGATCTCGTAGTCCGCGTTGGCTATTCGTAAAATAGCCAAAACAACCAGCACACCCGTGACTATCCAGATCAGGAATACTGAGATAAACGCTCCCAAAACTTCTGAAAACATGGGTTGGGAGGGCCGTTATGAATCCTTGTTCTAGGAAGAACAAACTGGAAATATATAGTCTTGTTCGCTAAGGGTGCTGGGGCGTGTCAGGAGACATAGGCTTGGCGCAGTGCCATATCGTTCTCCTCCAATCGCTGAAGAGGAAAAGGCGACTGCAGTTGGTGGAAAACGTGCTGGCGCCTCGCCCTCCCATCCTCCCTGACACACCCCGGCATCCACAGCGAAGAAGTGTGCGAAGGAAATGAAAGAAATAAACAACGAAAGGTAAACAAATATGAAGACAATGCAAATAGAAGTCAATAAAAATCAGTATTACATGATATTAATAGAGACTCTACAAGGTCGTAAAAACACTCACCTGCTCTGTGAAAGCCGAAACTCATCCTTTGAGACGGTGGTTTTGTAGCAATATAAACAGAAAATAAAGATATCAACATTGAAGCGAAATCAGTGAGCTGAATGAGGAGTTGGTTGGTGGGGCTGTTCACTTCAATTTGCTGACAAAATGAAAAAAATAGAAGAGAAAGGAGAATTCAAGGCACAGTCCACGCTGGTCGTGTGGGCGGAGATTGATGTGGAGGAGCCAGCAGTCGGCCTTCCCTATTGGTTCCGGGATGGTGAATAAAGCACCTCGGGGACGGACAACTCTGTTATGACGCTGTTTGTCTTGGTGGGGGCATTTTGCTGATTCCTATCAATCACTGTCAGCGTCTCCTGTGAAGAACCTGTAAGCTCTGTGAAGCTGTGCAACAGTACGAGCACTTCAGTTGTTTTCTTACTAATTCCTGTACTACACGTACTACCTTGGTAGTGGTACGCGTAAGTACAGGAATTAGTAAGAAAAACAAGGGACCTGGAGAAAGCCACACCTCCCCCCCCCTAAGTGAACTACGCCTGCAATTTTCGGTGGTGACCTACAAATATCATGAGAAAAGAAGGCTCCCTGGGTAAAGGGGAGAGTGGGCAAGCCAACACGCCTCGATGATTTCGCCCTCGCACTTTCCAGATTCTCCCAACAGAGTGATTAACCCCTTCAGAAGCCTCTCCCCGAAAGCGCAGACTATCGTGACTCTATCGGAACATTTCTGCCTAGCATATCACAAGGCATCCTGCGAGGGTGAAGGTAAGGGACGCCAGTGGAGGAAGCCTCACAGTTGGCCGTTGCCGCCCATACGAGCATTGTGGACTTCGTCTTCAGAAATTGGTCAATTTATTTCAGTTATAAAGCTTATCCACTGCTAGTTATTCAGGAAAATGATAACAATAATAAGGATGAAATCTTCGTCGTCGATCAGTCCCTTTTTGGAGTGCGGCGCGCATTTATCTCCCATTAAGAACGGTGGTTTCATTTTGGGTGCGATATGCCCTATACTATAATCTGCGAGGGCCAGAATATATACGATTCTGTGTTTTTATCCTCGCAGACCCTGCTGGAACTAGTAAACTGCCCCGCTGGGTAAAAGGCTTGGCGGGCTTGAGCGGGAGTAGGTAAGGGATTTGAACCCCGGATGGCACACGTGGGCGCACGCGGTAAGCGAGCCACTTGTCACTACCCCACTTCGGTCAATAATGATATCAATAATACTAACAAATAAAAGTAATCTGTAGCACTAAATGATAAGCAATAGTTCATAATATTAATAAAAAATGGTGTACATATAGTGAAAAACCTACCAAATGAGCTGCATCAGTTACAATAGCAAGGGATTTTGCCCACACACCACCAACTACTTCACAAATCATGAAGAAAAAACATATTCCAAGTGACATCCATAAGATTTTCTTGGCTGAAAAGTATTAAGTCTTTTCTGATTGCTCGGCGATTGACTGTCTCCGCCCACACCGTCGACGGTGACACGGAGCGTGGACTTCAAAGACGGAAACAACCTATGGAAACTTGTGAATTTCTTATGAATGGTGGGGAAATCTAAACCCTATTCATGACTAATAGACCATATAAAAAGTTCTGTGAATAGAAATTTCTGGAAGTCTATAGAAAATTACCTTTGGCAGATTTTATGCTATCGTCCTTACTTGGTTCATCATGGCAATGGAACTGAATATCATCGTAGTCCATTGAATTGTAGTTACCATTTCTAGAAAACCAAATTACAAAAATCAAATCGCAAATTATTGTAGCGAAAATTGATTTTTCATTGGCTTTTGGGAGCTGTTCGGCTTGGGGAGGGGCTTTTCACACATCCGCTACTTCCTTGTGTTGATAGTGTTAGTTAAAGAACTGTGAATCCCGTCAAATCCTGTGAAGCTGTAAAGTGGTAGGAGCCAGCTTGGTAAAGGAATTTACTCGTCCTCACAAGGTGGCCTGCAAAAGCTCAACTGGGTACCATTCAGTGCCCCCACCCCAAGCCAAACTGCGCCGATCTTTGTTTAGGAAAATCGATCTGTCTAAAGGAGCATCCAACGTACGGCCTTCTAATCAATAAGGGCCAGAAAGACTAAGGGCAGATAGCGGTACTGTGATAGCCCATAGAGAAGGAACACTGGGTTACAAAAAGTTAAATAAATAAGTAGTATAGCAGCTCATTTTTGAACAAAAAATTCGAAAACTTACTTGTTCCCGATTAAAGCTGTAGTTTCGGACATTGGCGTCGAAAAGAGAGGTGATGTTATGTGTACAAACGCCCATACTATCTTATCTAAAACCAAGTGCGGACCGCCGGTCATCTACCCTGACTCACGTGTGTGGGCGCGTGACCGCTCCCGAGGTCTGGGTAATCCCGCTGCTCAGGGTCAGGATGCTCGGAAACTCCCTGGATAATTCTCGTTTTTATTATTCTATCATTTCACTTATTGTGTTCATTAGTCCTGTGGCACTGAAATTATGATGATTGGCCGTTTTGGGTCTGTCAACACCCCCTTACTTGAAATGCGCCACGTCTCCGACTTGGATTCAGAAATGTGGCGTCATTTGTAGGCGACTTGGCTTGCACGATAAGCACAGTGGACCAGCCTGTACAGGTCACTGTTGT